ATTTGATTATTAACCCAGCTAGAAGAACTTAGAAGGTGGGAGGAAAAGCATTAATTTTTTTTTAGCCCCACAGTATTTATTAGATATAGTGTATATTATAAATGGTCAGATGTTAGGAGATTCTTGAAAGAAGTTTTGAAGCAACATTACAAATGTCAATTCATGGACTTGTGGCTGGTGCTGGCCATGAGAAAGTTTTCACTGGAAGAATTCTTAGGAAGAATTGTTTTTTAAATTGAGTTTGTAACGTTTTCTTAGTGTTAAAATATCCTTTTATGAAATGATGTTTATAGAACATGGGTAGTTGTTTTCTTTCTCTAGATGTCCTTACTTGGACAAAAGAAAAATTCACATGCTTTGTTGGGTCCCAGATATGTTGAAGTTTCACTGGTGTGTGAAATCTCAAACTTTCCCAGATTGCTTTGACATGGATTTATTGTTCCAAGAAGAAAGCTGTTGCAAGTAAAATAAAGTGTTATTTCCAACAATACTGCTTAGAGAACAAAGGACTTATTTCTCTCTTATAGTATTGGGTTGCTGGAAAAGTCATGACGCATTTTTGCAATGAAAAACATAGAAAAAATACGTCATGACTTTTCCAACAACCCAATAGATCTGAGGTGAGTGGGCCAAGTTAGAGAGCACAGTTCTGCTCCATATGGTCATTCAAGAACTTGACTTCCTTCCATCATGTTATTCCAACATACTCCAGAGCCTTGACATTACATGATTAAAATGTGTTGCCTTGGGTTTTGGCTGGCAGAAACAGAAAGAAGAGGTAATGTCTTAAGGCCTAAACCAGGAAGTAGCACATGCCCTTTGGCTGTAATTCCATCAATGAGAACACAGCCAAACTCAATTATAAAGTGCTGGGAAATGTAATATTGGTGTATGTCCAGAAAGAAGTGGAAAAGGTATGTATTTTGGTGGAAAATTAAGTCTGGGCCATATATCTCATTAAAAGATAATTGTTTGCATAATTAGTTTTTGTGACCATTCTACACTGTTAGCAGACAGAAGATTTGCTGTGATGGTGTTAGTGTTTTGAAATATGTTTAATCTCCAGCACTCTTAGATGAACTGTAACTTAAGGTCACTTTCAATAGCAGATGTAAAGACCAAAAAATTTAGATTTACAATCATCAAAACAGGTTTTCAAGGGGTGACTTCAGTTAGCTTTTGCTTATTTTGCATGCCTTTTTTAAAGGTAGAATTTTTAAATTATAGTTTAAATATATTCATAAGCCATAGTATAGTTATAGGTTTTTTTGATACATTTTTACAAAGTGAGCATACAGGTCTAACCTCCATTACATTAAAATACAGAGCAATGTCAGCATCCCAGAAAGCCTCCCTCATGCCCCTTTTCAGTAATGCTACAGCCTCACCCTACCAAAGATACCATATTTTGCTGTGTATAATGAGTACTTTTTGGCCCAAATTTGTGAGGGCAAAATAAGGATGAATATTATATTGTAC